CGGTCTAATCTCCATCTCTCTGGCTGCAGTAGTGAAAATGATGCCAAAAAATACGGAGTAAAACATTGGAGGAGGCTGGCTCAGAACATGAGAACGATCGCAATACAATAGTCGTGCGTGGCAGTAATTATCATCATACTCCCGTGTCCTTCGGACTTGTGTGACAGACACCTCTCCTTTCCCCGCAATTGCCACTCAACAAAAACTCGCCAAAACAAGCAGGAGTTCGAGCCTATCCGACAGAAGGCATGTGACCGTTACTTTTTGCGTCATTAGCTTCTTTCTTTTTTTTTATTTCTACCAATTCCATTGGTGAAAAGCTTCCGAATGAGACCGTAGCAATTCCCTCCTATGCGATGTTTACAGGAAAATATTCATCCTTTCAATGAAAAAGATTTATACAAATGGTTGAATATCTCCGAAACGGCTCGGCCAGTTGTGCCTATCGAAGATACCACCCTTCAGTATTTTAAGAGCTATAATCACACTAAATTTTAACTTGCTATCCCCATTTTTTCTCAAGTTATCGTGCGTACAAGAATGAAAAAAATTAAAAAACGAAAAAACGAAGATATCTCGGAAACTTTGTATGAACGGATATGTATATTTTGATTGATCTAGATAGTGATTGCCGAGATGAGTATTTTGAAAAAAAAAAATGAAATTCGTCCAGACATCGGCATAATCGTAATTTTGGATTGAAGTTAAATTTTGAATAAGCCGATTGTTAATATTACTCGCCAATTTTTCGATTATTAAAATAACCACCAATTTAAATATTTAAATTTCGAAATATTTTATCAACCAATAATTGAGAAATTAAATTACCAATTATTATATTATTTTGCAAATTTCAATGAAGATAAGTAAATCTGAATTATTGTAAAGTGCAACTTCTCATAATATTACTAAAGTAATGATTGATACCGATCTACGGATCCCTCAAGTTGTTCATGAGATATTTGAAGAAATATTTTTACACAAAAAGTTGTGTATCTCAGGAACCTTTCAGCCGATTACGCACATTCAAAATACCAACTTTCAGTGTTATAAGAGCTAGAACCATACCAAATTTCAACTTGCTATCCCCATTTTTTCCCAAGTTATCGTGTGAAAAAAATTTAAAAAAATTAAAAAACGAAAAAACGGCGACATCTCCGAAACTTTGTATGAACGGATATGTATATTTTGATTGATCCAGATAGTGACTGCTGAGATTAGTATTTTGCAAAAAAAAATTGAAATCCGTCCAGACATCGGCATAATCATAATTTTGAATTAAAGTTAAATTTTGAATAAGCCAATTGTTCAAACAGCGCACCAAAGTTGAGCTCAATAATAGCTACAATGAGCCAAAATTTCAGATTTTTATCTACAAATTTCACCGTATATATGTGGAATTTTCTAAAAAAATTCATTTACAATCAAAATTAAAAAATCGAAAAATCAGTTAAAAACAAGGCTTCCATTCGGCAGCAAAAGAAAAATAAATGCCCGAAACTAATCATCACAATTTCACTCCGACTCCCCGGAATCCCAAATAAAATTTTCTCTCTCCATTTATTTTCCCCCAAACTTTATCCTCAAAAATTCAAGGGGGTCGATGAAGAACTTCGCCTCACGTACAGAGACTTCTTCTCCGTACATCTTAGCGCTTAGTCCCCTCTCATTTCATCTGCTCTCATCACTCTCATCCTCTCCTCGTCGCCCGATTCATCATGCCATCTTCCTCTCTCAAACCCAAACAGTTGGCATCATCTTCATCGCACCATCAGAAACGGAATTCTTTCCTTCTCCGGTTGGCCGTTCACTGCGGCGCTGTACGTTTTCTGGTGTTGGTCGATTGCCTGGCGTCCATGAAGCCAGCACAGGCAGCCCGCAGCCAAGCAGCAACCAGCATCGCCGACGGTAGTTTCGAGTCCCCCAGCAGTGTTGCCGAGTTTGAACGCGAAAGCCACAGGGTTGCCAAGTCACTGCCTGGCTCCTCATGCCGGTGTTGCTTGCGCGCGTCGCTCCACCTCTCTCTCGCGATATTTCTCGCTCTAGCCCCCCCGCTCCTCCCGCAAACCTCCCGCACAATCCGTTCGTTCCCCGCCGAGCGTTTCGCCGCTCTTCGCGACTACTCGCCTCGCTTTTCGCTCGTCTCTCTTCCTCTTCATTCCACCCCGTTCCACCCCCCATGCGCCCCTCTCGCACGTACAAACTCCAAGGCGTACGCAATCCCTTTCGCTCTTCCACCGCGTTTCTTCCCTCGGACCCTCTCTCTCGCGCTCACCGCGATCGCGAACTGGAATCAGCCCGTTTCACCTCTCCTCGCCGCACTACATGCCCACCCAGCCACGCTGCCAGCTCGACTGTGTACGAGACCCGAGTGTCTCAGGACCGTACACTCCATTCTCGGGTACTTGAAAGGTTTTTTTTTCACTCAAGTTTATAACAAAAAGCCTTTAACTCCGCAGCGGCGGCGATTTCCCCATTTTTGAAAGTTTGGTTTTTCGTAAAAATTTCAACATCCCGGTGTTCGATAAAAGTTTCCCCCTGACGAGGCGCTTTTTTTCCAGGTAGTATGCACTGTTAACTCGGTTAATTCAGGATGATAAGAGTGGGGTAATCGCGGAGGGGAATTTTGAACGATTTTTCCATCGTCAAATGAATAGTTGCACGAAATTTTTCGACTGTTTGAAAACTTTCGCTGAAAGTTCATGATGGAATGGGGATAGATATAGAGCGAATGAAGGAGGACGGGAGGATGGTTACTGGGGTAGAGAAGAGGAGAGTAATATGTGTGTGAATGTGTGTGTGTATGTGTGTGTGTGGCCACGATCCCGCGACTTTATATCCAGCAGACACGAGCAGTTGGATCGATGAAGTTATATCCGGGTATCCACTGGCGTTCTACGCGTACTCTCGTATTGCGAGAGTACGTGGCGAAAAAAAATGCCAGTCTTGAATGAAGAAAGAAGAAATGAGATAGAGAGGAAAAAACATTGAAATGATAAACGAATGGCGGAGGGAATGGGGATAAAGAAAATACCGTGAAGACGAAGACAACGTTTTGCTGCTTCATTGGACCGAGTCAAAATGCCTTTCCCCTCTCCCCGTGATGATTTTTATATATATTTTCCCCCCATGTTGCCACAGGACTGCCACATCTCGAGATAAGAGTCTGTCTCAAAAATTTTCGATAAACTCGGCTTACGCATGCCTACGTGGAGCTATAAATAAGGCATTCGTACTATAAATAAAGAAAAAAAACGTGAAAAAGTACTGAGTGAAAAAATTTTCACTCCAAAGTGATCCGGATACACTAGACTCGAAGAAACACTTAGATTTCGAGGTCGCAGCAGGTTATTTTTGCTTGAACACGCAAAATGGCTTGTAGCCGGGTATAAATCTAATAAAAAGTCACTACGCGTCAAAGTTGACTGTACTGAACATAGCGAATAAATCTGTTCATAGGAAAAGAAGATGAAAAATGCGAAAATTAAAAATATCCTGAATAAAGTTGCATGTTTAACGTCGATCGCCTTTGATGAACATTTTTGATTGATCATGAAGCCAAGATGTGGACGCCGATGCCACAGAATTCGTCTGTCCCATGCATAGTATACTGAAATGCATAACAATTACAGTAAAAAAAAAATTCACCTCAGTACTCCACAACTAAAGGGCAAAATTGCTTGTGGTGAATTTTTTATATTTCAAGTCACAATGTGAAATTTCAGCGAAAGAGCGTCCACTATAAAGTATTCCTCAAACGACCCATCCCCTTTAAGTCGGGGAGAGCCACACACAGTACGCCCGTTCGTTCGCTCCGAACGGCCGAGGTACTTGGGTATAACGTTGCTTGCGACCCGTTCTCGCGCAAAACTTCTCTCCTTCATAAAACAACGTGTGTGTATTGCTTTATGATTTCACCAGTGTTGCATCGATAAATTTTTATCCCCGAAGAATATCAGCAATTACCACCAATTGAACAAATTCAGCTGTATCAAATACAACGTATGTCCACCAACAAGTACATCTACCAATGCAATTATTAAAATCCCCCCGAATACAGTTACACCAATATAAAATAACCAGTGTTACGTGCAAGTGTTCAACAATACAACAAAAACACGGGATGCAAATACATCCTCAGTCGAGTGGTATTCCGCGAAAGAAAGCCATCCTCAACTCCTCTAAACCCGTACCTGTTTAAAACCTGGACGTGTAATTCTGAGAACGAAAAATAAGAAAACACGAAATACTTGTCGTCTAAAACTCCGCTCAGGGGCATCACTTCGACATCGACAACCTCCTGCACCGAGGGTTTAAAAATCATCATCAAAACCCTCGCTCAGAAGGAAGAAAAAAAATCCTTTCATCAGGAATTCAAAACAGGTGCATACTCCTCTCTCTCTCTCTCTCTCTCGTCCCCTTCTCAAGTCCCGCTCTCCAACCCCGAGACGAAAAAAATCGTCTGAAAATTTTCAGAGCACTTCAAACCTCGCTGAAAAACCCATCGGAAAATTATTAAAATTTCCATTGAATGCAATTCTCGGAGAAAATAAATCCACTCTAATCTCGAACTTGTAGCGCCATCGGGGGCCCCGCCGTGATGCATCCCTGTCCTGCCGCAACTCCCCTTCTCTTCCACTCCAACATTTTCGCCCGCCCTCCACCGCGATATGGCTCTTTCTCATGCTCGTTTGCTATAGCGGTACATCCCCCCCACCCCACCGGCGCACCGCGCCTCTAGAGAACGTCGACGTCGTTTCAGCCTTAACCCCCCTCAATGCTCTCTTCCTCTCTCGCACACTTCTAGCACTAAGTCCCCCCCTGCCGCCGCCACTACAGCCGTCGTGACCCTCCCCCCGGCCGCGCTCTTTTCCCCTCTTTCGTCTCTGTTGTACCGTGCCTCGCTCTGCGCCCGGCCAACCGTCCGTCCTTACGTCCGTCCGTCCACGGTGTTTCGATCTATGGTTGTGTCTGTGTGTGTTCTCCCTCCGTGACGTTAACCTGGCGGCCCTGAAAACGCCACGGGACCGTTTACGCACCGAATTCGGCCACCATCAACTAGAAATACACGTACGGAGAGTTTTTAAAGAATCATATAAACGTTAATATAGTGAATAGATATTAAAAATCAATTAAATGAATATATCGTGAGCACACGAAGTCTCACGTACGAGCATTTGAAGTCGCGGGTATTATTTCGTGTAGTGTGTGATTTTTTTGTGTCAATGCCCAACTCAACGTGTTGTATATTTGTGCTGAATGCCCTGGTGATCGTTTAATGCCTTCCACATTATCCTCATTATTCGATATGTCATTGGAATTAATTTAGTTGTATGAAAATGTGGTTATGGAGAATTTTAGATTGAGGTGATTTTGTGTGGAATACTGAGTGTGACCGACGGGAGAGTTAACGTGGTAAGGATTTCAACGCCCTGGGCGCGTCTCTCTTTATTTGATATGTGAATTTAATGAATTATCGGGGGGGTTTTGTGTGTGTGTGCATCTTTTTTCGTCGTTAAGTTCGCAGATTATTTGTCAGTCTCGTGACAGGACGATGGATGCTTCTTCTGTACCACCCTCTCCGCCACTAACACACATGCAGAGTCATTGCATTGATGACTCTGCATCACGAATTCCAGGGCTTATCCTCTTTCGAATTTGTCTGATTCGTCGTTGAGTATTCTTGGTGGATTTCTCCTCTTGGCTTGAAGGAATTTACAACTTTTTTCGTTTCGAATTATACGTATACTTGCTGCTAACAACTAGAACACCTGCACTGATTCCACATAAATCTCCACTTTTTTCGTGTTCATAGTTCAATAGTCCTGCAAATATCGCGGGTGTAACGTTCATTATTGTTTATCACTGATCAGTGGGCGAGTTGGGAGAGCAGAAGTTAAATTGATGGGAGAAAATTGAAGAGAATTACGCTGCAACGTACATCTCCACAGTGCTATCAACAATATGTTCAATGTTTTTGTGATGAAAAAACTAAAATCCAGTGTTCAATCTCTCGTGATTGTTTATAAACCGGGGAAATGGTGAATGAATCGGGAACAGTGGAATTAACGAAATTAAGTTTCAAATTTTTTTTTCCATCGTGGGACGCGGCGACTACGCCGCCTCCTTGTGCGCGAGCTAGCTCTCTTCCAACAGAAAACCGTGTTTCTGTCTCCAGTAGTGCACGTTGACCCGGCGAGAACGCCCGAGGAACAACGTATCGCTTTTTGTTATACAATAATAACATTTATTTAGGGTTTTGGGGTCGGTCAGTGGTCCGGGGACATAGGAGTGATTAATCAGGGGATGATACCGGATGCTTCAGGTTCGCAACTCTTCACCATCACCATTTATTCCCATTATTTCAATTATTCTTTATTATGATGCATCGGAGTTTGGTTTAATGTTTTTGTGTGCCACGAAATGGTGTACGTGTTTACCGACTGAGGGAGAGAATGGTGTTTGGTGAGAGTGGAGGAGAGAGAGATGAGGCAAAATGGTTACGTTTTTTGTGTGTAACGCCCCATGTTTCTCGTCCGACACCCGTCCAGGGGTTACAAAAAAACATTGAGCATTTTTTTTTTGAGTTGAAACGCTTGGGGTACGCATTTGTCCGATGTCGAATTTCAAACGATGGTGTTCACCTTGCGCTCGTCTACGCGCCCCTGTTTCGCATCTCTGTGAACTGAATTTTGTGTTTGAGTTCGGTTTAGATAGATCTGTGTGATGCACCAATGTTAAAACTTTGCGCTGGGTACGCAGAGGTGAATTAGTTCCAGTGAGACACGAGTGAGGAACAGTGATTTGAGTGAGAATAGCGAAAATTGTTTTGAGATGTTTTTTACGTTTTTGCTGTTGGGAGTTGGATGCATTTTGGGGGCTTAGCTTTGATTTGTGAGACTTTTGGGTGAACTTGTCACCCTGCAGCCGACGGTGCATTAATAGGCACGAGTTGTACGTATTAAAGTTGCATCTAAATCTGTTCTTGGTTAAAAATAAGCAAATGGTACGTGTGTGTACGTGGCTCGTATTCTTTCTGTCCGAGCAAACGTAACGTGAGGTGCAGTTGTTTTTTCGTTTTTCTTGAGTTTTTATTCCTCTTTGGTGAGGGCTTGCTGCGCCTGGGGGGCGGGATGCTGAGGCCTAACGAGTGTGATATTGTGCGTGGTGGAATATGCCTGCAAATGTTTTATCTGGAGTGTGCAATGGTGTATAATGTGGGAGATATTTTTCTCGTAATCCGGGTGATGATGAGGTGAGCCCTCGGATTCTCGCCGCTGTGGAAATTTTTCAGTATCTTCTTTTTTTACGAAATCAGGGGGCTTCGCATAGGGGGGGGGGCAGTGCTGGGAAGGGATTTAGGTTTTTGTTACAAGAATTTACACCGACGCCTTGGGCTCTCGGGATGTCGTTGGGTCTTGATGGTGCTGTTTTTGGAGTTTTTACTGGGTTTTTTAGGACGATGATGAGAGTGTGACGAATGGTGTGATGACTAGATGCGTTCGGGGATGGTGATAATGCATCGAAATGCTGCGTCCTCGTTGGAGCGTGACGCGGGTGCGACGATGCACAGTGTTGCGTTTGAATTGATATTCGCGAAGGCTTGTGTGGACTCTGGGTGCGTTACCAATGCGTCGGTGTACGTGGTATTTTTCGAGTTGGGTGGATTCGAAAGTCAAAGTGATGAGTTTTGGTTTTACGGGGGTTGTTGAAGGAGACGTTCGTCGGGGGTTTCTCAGGAGATTGTGACTGAATTTCGCGAGAGGATGACGAGCCAACTGCGTCGCGTCATTATTCCACCGTATTTTCTATGGATTTCATTCATTTACGCGTTTTAATCGCGCAATTTGAGGTCTGCTTGTATGTACGTGCCTTGTGATGCAATCAGCGCGAAAAATTCTTGTGAAAAAAGTGGTGGAGTAACGGTGCAATGTTATTGTTATCATCGAGTCATCGATAACACATGAAACAACAAGAATTTATTTGCTCGTCAGCGAACTTAGCTTTCATGGGATTATTTGGTGGTGTGAGTTGTCATGGAACTATTGGAGATTCGTTTTGTGATTTTGAAATTGTATATTTCTGGTTGTGATTACGAACGCTGCATTAGTGTGACATCTGGGGATTATTGATTGTCCTCAATTTTCAACGTGGAACTGAAGAATTCAGGCTCTTTTTTTCGGATTGCTCTGTGGATGAAGTTTTTATTCTTCTCGCGGTGAATTGCTGCAGGAAAAATGAATTCGCGAGGATGTGGGAGGGTTTTTTTTTCATGGTGAGCTCGAACTTTCGCGATTAGCGAATTCTTGATGACGTGTTTTTGCCGACGGTTGAGCGAAATTTGAGGTTTTTCTTTATGAGTCATGAAATTGTGAATTGAAGAGTGATATTCAGGGGAATTCAGTGGTTACTCTCGGGGCTCTCCAAGTGATTGAAAGCATTAGTGATATATTTAACGGGTAACAAGCCTTTGCACGATGACGTGGAAGCATTAGAAAGGTGATGCAACTCGTCAGGAGTGCCTTGGGAATACGGGTTAAAGCAAAAATTCAATTTTTTATTTCTCCTTCCTCCACTGGTGATTTCCACAGATGTGTTTTCTGCTATTTTTACATTCATGGGAGGGTTTTCATTTTTGCGGTGAGTGTTTTTTTTTGCCATTACTTTTTCTTTCTATGGAATTTTTTCATTTCAGTGAAATCGATTGTCTGTCAGTAGTGTCAGTTAAAGCAAGTTACTTTCGAATATTACCAGTGAATGGGTAATTCGGTGGAGAGTGTCACATTGAGTGCAACCGAGAAGTTCTGCAAAAACGATTGAATTCGTATTAAATAATGACGCAATTTACAATTCAACGTTTACTTGTATTTCGTCGACCTTCTCAGTGCTTAGCAATCATTATCATCGTTCTCGCGATTGTCGATTATATTTTGAGAACACTCATCTCTGAATTGAAAAGCAACTTCTCGTTCTTTTGTGAAATATTTTATTTATGAATTTAATTTGAAGGCCAGAGTATGCCACGTCACCAGAGGCTTGTCTCGCGAAATTCATTAGTTGAATGGAAATTGAAAAGAAAAAATACTTGGCAATTTAAATTGTCTAGGTAGTATCGTTGAACGATTTGAAAATCAAATTTATCAATTGACTTAACGAACTATCTCTCTGACCAGAGATTACATGCAACATACTCTAGTACTCGTTTCTTGAAACTGCAGGCATTGAGAGAAACGGAAAATGGGGAGATAAATCGCCGTTGAACATATGTGGACATAAAACAATCGTCATTAGTGCCGGTTATCAGGGTAGTACTTTGATCGCGAGTGTGTGAAACGAGTGGGTGAAAAAAAATATAATATTTATCAGCAAACCCGAAGAAAGACTATTGTAAATATGTCGTAACTGAGTTTGATATCAAAATGGCGTTCGATTAGACGACATTCTCAGACGCATCCAGTGTCGTATCGTTGTGTATCAATATTTTTAACTGCTGAAGAAAATAGACGTGGTTATCTGTAGGAATGTGTAAAACTAGTTCCTTGATTCTGATCTCGTTCGAGATTATTAACTTCTCGACCCGAAGGGAGCAAGTTATTGCTATGACCCCGAAAATCGAATGTGAAATTTCCATGATTTCTCCACATTTCGTGGCCTCTAGAGTCATTCTGATACGTTTTTGAAGATCTGTCTGTATGTGTGTGTGTGCGTGTGTGTGTGTGTACGTATGTAACACATAATTTTGTCCAACGATATCTTCTGAACAAATGAACCGGTTCAAAAAAATTTTTTTTCAATCGTGATGCGTGTTAATGTGACTTAAAACTGATTAGGTAATGAAGAGGATCATCCCAGCGGTTCGTTAGTTATTCGCATAAAACTTGTTAAAAAATCGAAAAAAGTGACTTTTCTTTGAAAATTCAACAATTTTGCCGAGAATAATGATGGGTTTTGATTTTTTTTTAGTGTAGTCGATGCTACTACATGTCATTCGATTTCCATTGGATTCTGAGCCAAATCGTCTCAGCCGTTTTCTTGGTATCAGGGTGAAAATTAAAAAATTTGCGTTTTTTCTTTCTACACTGAGAGAAAAATTTCTAAAAAAATTGAAATTCTATGATTGATCCAAATAGTTCATCGATTGAACAGTAGCAAAACAAAATGCTATTGTGAGACACAAATATCGATTTGAACTAAACCAAAATTGGATTGTATGAAATCGATTTTGTTATAGTATAGTATATTTTGTTTATTTTTTTTCACAATTGCAATTGAAAAATAATCAGTTCAAATGATGATGAATTGCGTTTGTCGTAAACAAGAAACTACTCGCCGCGAAAGTCTCGCATCAATGAGTATCCAACAATATGTTATTCATAAACCAAATGAATATTTTATTGCATCCATGAATTCTGCTT